TTAGGTTTCATATTAACACTCTGTGGCTTAAACATTGCTAATAGGTGCACAACGCTAACAGAGCCACCGGATTGAGCAGAGTTACTAAAATGAACTTTTCTGTTACTGTAAATAATAAAGAAAAAGAACAGGTAGTGTTAGAGAACACAAGCAGCCAAGTATGGAAGGTAGATATTGACCCTTTTAGGATGAAAAAGTTGTGAAACAAAGCCGTAGTTTCCCCTAATTGGAAATATGTGCCAGTTTGTTGCACAGAAGGCACCACAAGCTGCTTTTATTAAACTTCAGGGCTAGTTCACACCAGATGCAGTCCGTACAGTTTTGCAGCAGTATCCAACATGTATCACAATGCTTTCCTATGGGATTTCTGGTGCTTTGTTCACACCAGTGCAATCCGTTCCGATGTAGTCAGAAAAAATACTGCTTGCCCTATTTTAGCTGCATCGGAACACATCAAAAACGCATGAAAATGCACTGGAACACACCTAAAATCCCATTTTAAGCAAACAAAAAAAGGTGTCAATCACAGTAAAATTGCGGAAAAACGCATTGCACTGCAGCTGCGCAAACGCACACAGTTCTGGTATGAACTAGCCCCCAGGACTTGTTCACACCAGACAAGAACAGTTTGTTCCTGAAGTAAAAAAAAAGCATCCCAATGTATCCCTATAGTATTTCTGGGCTCTGTTCACACTAGCGCAGTCCGTTCCAGACAAGACAAAAGTCTGGAATGCATGGAAATGCATCAAAAACACATACAACCCCATGCAAACGCACTAGAAGCCCATTTTAAGCAAAAAAAAACTCAGGAACGTGGGAAAATCATTGTAAAAACGCAGCAAAACGCAATGCACCGCACTCCAGATCTGGTCTGGAAATTGGTGTGAACCTGGCCTCAATGCTCTTCCCAAATCTGCTGCTGGACAACCCAAACAAATCTACTGTGAGTTTCAACCAGCAGGTGGTTCCTGAGAGTAATTTGAAGGAGAACTCCAGAAAATCTTCTTTTTTTTTTTTATTTAGATTGGACCAGCGTAGTTACTTGTAATGATTCATATCTCACATCCGGAGGGATGCAGGCATTACGCCCTTCTTTCCAAGATAAGAAAGAGAGACACCTTCCAACACAACGTATATTTAGGCAAAGAATTTACATGCCAAAAATGATTGGTTAAACCCAGAATTGTTTTCCACCATTATTTTTATTTTATATTGGCTTTTCCAAATAGTCATAAAGATAATTAGGAGATAAGATATAAGTTTTAGTGCAGAAAAACATGTTTGGTTGTTAAATTGAACCTTTACATAGATATCTGTACATCAGACCAAAAAGAGGGACAACTGAGGAGAAAAGAGGGACAGAGGGATTTGGTTCCAAATGAGGGACATCTATTGTGCTCTCAGCGACAATGATCTATTCCAAATTGCATGTAATCATATCACATAAGGTTACATGCAGACTGTCGCTTAAAGATGCGGCCGCAGTCAACCCTGTCATTATCAACCTAAATGGTTGGCCACAGTGGCCACATCTAAACAATAGATTTTGGATTCCTGACGTGTGAATGAGGCCCTACGGAAAGAGACAACATTTATTTTTTCATACATTAATGACAGAAACTACCCTTGCACTGCCTCCCTGCAACCCACATTCCCCCCACACAAGGATTAAGCAATGAGGAATAAGCTGTAATACTTAACCTCATTCCATGTCCTGATATGGAGGGGGCATACTTCAATACTGACATCTCTAAAAGTCTGAATTTGCATATTGCAGCAGACAGGGACCTGGGGATGCTGGGCTGTCTTGCAGCAACAGGTTGAGTAGTGGAAAGCATTAACTATGAGGTTAAATATGTAGGAAAGTAGTCAGCCCCACTGTCTGTCAAAATACCACAACACTGCCATATCTGAATGGATGCAGGTACTATATGGCCAACAAACCCCCAATTCCCCCAATCGATTTCACAATCCAATAATGTTGATCAGAAAGCGGAAGACAACACCACCCACTGAGCAAATTCGCTCAGTGTAAAGCCAGCTGAAAAGGAGAAGTATGAGGTGAGTGAAAAATCACTCAACTTCATAGTTCGAGCCGACGTGTGACAATTAAACTGTCGGCTCAATAGATCGGGAAGGGAGCGAACATATACCTGTCGCTCGCTCACTTCTCGATCATGCCCTGTCCCTGTGGAGAGTAACTCACAGCTCCATGCAGGGATTCCCCCCTCCCCTGTCCGATCCTCCAGCGCTGACAAGAGGAACGAACGGGGGAGGGGGCGGGTACAGCTGGCTCTGCCTCTAGATAGGCAGAGCCAGCTGTCAATCACACAGCTGGGTGGATCTCGACAGTAATGTCGGGATCCGTCCCGGCTGCGGCGGTCTCAGTATACCGCGAGCTGTAGCTCGCGGTATACTGAGCTTTGGGTCACGTGAGGACGCTAGTTTATGTCCTCCCGTGACCCTGAGGAGAACTATGGGAAAACACACTTACCCCATAGTTCTCCTTTAAACAACATCTGAAGATGCCTAGTCTGTTTGTAAGGTCAGGTTTGTTGTAGGCCTCATTCACACGACGGACAGATCCGTACATATGTTCAGGGGGCTGTATTTATGTGCCTGCGGAGGCACAGGCGTTGCTGCCTGTTAATATCAATGACAGGCTGCGGCTGCACAGGTCTTTATACACATCACAGCGTTTACATCCATACAGGGACAGATGCACAGCCCTGAATGCTGTCTGTCTGTGTCCAGAGCCGTGCAGATGCCTCTTAAAAAGCAGGGACAAATGTACAGCTCTAGATGCAGTTAAGGTCCCCACACACCTTACGATAATCATACGATAATCGCGGGGAAATCCCGAGATCGTACGATTATCGTAAGGTGTGTGGAAGCCGTGCGGCCTCTACTACTGTAAGGTTGCACGACTTTAAACATACGAACATGTTTGCAAACCCGCCGAGCATCCTACGATGTTCGGCGGGTGTGTAGCATGTTCATAAGATAAAAGCCGGACGGGCCGTTGTGCGCAAGTGCACACTGCCCGTTCGGCTTTGCGGTCATCGTAAGCCCGCCCCTCAGGGGGCGTGGCTTGCGATCATCACAAGTACGATCTGCCTATCTTGCATAGGCAGATCGTACGTTTTTTTAAGTACCTTACAACCATCGCAAGACAGAAGTCTTGCGATGGTTGTAAGGTGTGTGCCCAGCCTTAGACTACATTCAGTCTTGTGCATCTGTCCCTATATGAGTGTACACTAGGATGGAACACCTTGCTTGCCTGGGAGCATAAACAGGACCCTGTGCACAGATATACGGATCTGTGAACCTGTGTGAATGAGGCCTAATAGTCACAGTTATAGTTCTTGCCCTAGATGGAGCTGAGAAGCATTGGAAATTATTATGTTCCTCTGCTCCACCACAAGGCTGGCTGGCTGGGCAGATGATTTATAAATCTTCCCCTCTATTTTAAAAATTTTGGGCTGAGCCTTAAAAGATGTCCATGCTCTCTAAATCAGTAAGAACAACTTGTTAACACAAAGATTGAATTTGTTTTTCTACATAAAACGAAAATTTTTCTTCCATGGGATTGGAGATGTGGCCCAGTCAGACTGGGACACATGCACATTAACCTGTGTTGCATTAAATCATTCATTTCAAATTGGCTGCCATTGCATACTTAAAGTGACACTAAACTCATGAGTTAAATCTTAAAAATGCATTCAAGTACCTTAAGGCCCCTTTCACACGAGCGTTCAGGTTGTCCGTTTTCCAACTGGAAAATGGACAACAGTGCATCCCTATGGCCCCATTCACACTGGTGGTCCGATCGGGTCCCCCTGTCAGTTTTTCGGACAGAGCTGATCAGATCCCAATGCACGTCTATGGGCAGCCATGTGTAAACAGATGAGTGTCTGTTTACACCTAATAACCCCTGGCTCTGGCTGGGTCAGAAAAAAAAACAGATGGAACAGTGTTCCGTTTTGGCGGACCGGATCGTGACGGATCGAGTATAATCTGATATAAACGGACACGTCAGTTTACATCAGATTCCCCATATGGAGTCCGGCAGTTTAAATTAAAAAACTGCACGGACACAGATGTCACATCGGTGACATCCACTCGGTACTGCTGTTATCAGGAGAGGACCCGGGCATTGATCCTCTCCTGATCAGCCCGTGTGAAAGGGGCCTATGGCAGTGCGAATGAAAACTGACGACCATCAGTTTACATCAGGAAACATCAGTGTCAGTTGATGTGGACAATTTGGGACGGATCAGCTCTCTGTTGTCTGACTGGGATTGATGTAACCTGATGTAAAGTAAGGCTTCTTTCACACGGGCTGATCAGGAGAGGATCGATGCGAAAATCGTACGATCGACCAAAGTTTTCTAACCTGCTGGTTAGTCAAAAGTCGATCGATTGTACAGTATTTGAGGTTGTACACTGCCCATCAACCTTACGAATATCGGACGAAAAACACGATTGCATGCGAACATTGGCCGATATTCGTAAGGTGTGTGGGCACCTTTAGTATTGCTAACAAACGATTGACAAAATCGACATTGGTCTGTGCTTGATGGGTTATTTGAGGTAGAATCGAACAATGGTTCTTGGCAGCAATGGAAGTTTCCGATCGAAAATCTATAGGTGTATGGTAAGCCTAATACAAAAGCAATCTTGGAAAGAATACATTTCAATGTCATATTCTACATCTGAATATAGAATACGCTACAACAGCCCTAATATATAACATAAGAAACAAACAAACAAAAAGCATGCATTTTAAAGCAATGACGTGAAATGTAAATATATGTGTTGGGGGGAAAAAAACATTGTGACAACTGCTTTCACAATATTAATAAACAAGTCAGTATTTGGCATTTCCTAAAAAAAAAAAATAATAATAATAATAATACAAAGATATGCAGATATGACATTAAAGTACAGGGACACATGACAGAATTCATCCTCTACACACAACACAATGAAGCACTTACAATCACAATGACTGCTCGGTGCTCATAAGAAGCTGCTGGACTGTAGAGATCAGGAAGTAGCAGACACATGGAGCTGTTCTTGGTGCTCACTGTTCAACAAACCCTTCACAACAAGCAGGCTGCACATATGGTTCCCTTTGCTGTCAGTGCACAGACTGTTAGAAGAAGGGGGGTTGTCCGCTCTTTGAAAGGGAAATTGTAAAGATATTATTATGAAAGCTACATTTGCGGAGAGGTGCACGCTTTAGCACAGTCATTCTGATCCTGGCTGTACTCCTTAGGGAGTCGCCGATCTGGAACAAGTATGCAAAGCGCTGAAGTCATAAAACTCCTAAAAGATAAGTAAAGCCAAATTTTTTTTGACTGGTTTGCTCCTTTTTGGGGTCACAGGAGTTGATTTACTCATGTACTCCTGTGATGAAAAGCAGTAGATAGCGGGCTAATGCCTGCTATCTGCTGGCAGCACAGAGCCGCACTGCAGGTATCCATTCGGCTCCCTGATTGACAGTTATCTCTGCCTCTCTAAAGCTGCCCATACTTCCCCCTTTTATATCAGCTTCCCTCCCTTAGCAAAAATGTTGAGGCACACCAGAGGATGGCAGAAGGCACCCCGGGGGAACCACGGCACCGTGGCTCAGAAAGGCTGCTCTAGAGCCAATGAGGGGAGGGAGGAATCCCTGCGGCAAACGGTGACTGACAATCACGACTCTCTGCAGGGGGAAGAGATTGAGACCTAAGTGATTAGCGATTATAGTCACTTAGCTCTCGGTATAGAGCTGGTGTGTCACAGCGGCAGTGTGCTACATCAGCTCTAAGCAGCAGAGGAATACGTTTACTCTCTCCACACTTCCATAAACAAATCCAATCTTGCTCCAATTCCTGCAGAATCGTCCACAACAGGAAGTCACATGACCATGCCTGTAATGCAACCACCAACAGCCAAAAAAACATCTGATTGGCCAGAGAACAGTCACCTGTCCGATTTAGTTTAGTTTTTAATGAAATTGGGACTGATCTGAACTTTCGTTAAATGAGCATTCAGATTCATTCACATTTGCACAAGTTTGATTTCAGAAATTCGGATGCATCCGAATGCCCAAATTAAAACCACCACGTCTATATACCGTGGCCCCGCAGAAGTGGCTAAACCAAGAACATGGCTGTTGCGATGGCTGTTCCGGTACAAGCATTCCAGCATCTATACAGCCATTGGATCGTTTGTACTGATGGGCGGCATGTGCTGCCCCCACACTTTCCGCCGCCGCCGGCTTCCCGGGCTCCGCTATCCCCCAGCAGGACGGATCTCCTTGCAACGATTGGAGAGAGAGATTAGCAAGCTTCCAGCCACTGATCTCTCCTCCGATCACTGGACCCGGAAGTGATGTGTATTACATCACTTCCGGTGTCACTATATACATTCTCCAGCTCTTAGAACCAGGAGAAGAAGCTGGGGAAGCACATTGTTGCTTCCTCAGCTTCTTTGGGGGCCCCTAGGTGACATTAGGGGTCTGAAAGACATCAGATGTCTCCATAAAGAGGACCTGTCACACCCTATCTCCTACAGAGGGAACTTGTTAGCCCCCCTATGTGATAGCAATACGGTTAGTGTTTAAAAATTGTTTAAAAAAATAAAGAAAATTAAAGTAACATAAGAAAATGTAAAAAAATGCAAGAAAAAAAATGTTTTAAGTCCCCCGCCCCCCACGTGCACGCACATACATAAGCAAACATGCGTTGGTGCGCCTACGTGCAAAAACGAAAATTGCGCTACATATGTTACATATCGCCGCGAACGTCAGAGTGAGAGCAATAATTCTAGAGCCATTAATCACTGTTAACACTAAACTGATGAGCGGTAAAAGCTTTTACAATGTCCCCTATGGGAGATTTGGGGTATTTAAGTTTTTTGCGGCTTCACAGGCGAACGCAATTTTAAGGCTTGACATATTTGGTATCTATTTACCCGAGGTGACCCCCTCTTTTATATTTTAACAAAAGAATGGGTATTATATTATGTTTCTGTGCACTAAATTTCATTTAGTGTATTTTATCCTAGAAACACGGGTTTGATAAACATTTGCGCAAATACGGTGCAACCTACAAAAATTCAACTAGCATCTTTTTATTCTACAGGGCCTCTGCTTTCAGAAAATAGATCATTGTTTGGAGGTTTGAAGCTGTTTTCTAGCCAACAATCCAGACTTTATAATTTGTGTGCAAATGTAAGACATTGCTCCGGACAACAAGTGGTTAATCTGATATGTTTGCTTTGTGAAATAAAGATGTGTTAAACTCTCAAACTTTGTTTTGAGTAATTAATCCAAATCAAACAAATATACATGAAATGAAATGATTGTGCGGCGCTGTGAAACAAGGTGTCACAAAGAAGTGATACCGATAACTTACTCCTAACATCTACACAAAAATGTGTGAACAAATGTCACAACCTTACTCTGCACAAATCTCATGTGCTATGATTAAACCTGAACACATGTATTGTACGCTAACAATAGTGCATACAAATTAATATATGTATAAATAAATGATATTGTGACTTTGTGGTCATCCCAGTTTATATACTGTGGAAGTGCAAAAAGTAATCAGTCCTCATAAAGTGCTTCAATCGTGCAAACAAACTCCAATGTTGATGTATTGTTGGTGCATCCACTCATGCACTAAATATATAAATCATGTTGTGTCGTGAAAGTAAGGTTGTGACATTTGTTCACACATTTTTGTGTAGATGTTAGGAGTAAGTTATCGGTATCACTTCTTTGTGACACCTTGTTTCACAGCGCCACACAATAATTACATTTTTGTTTTAAATAATATACAGTAATTACACTATATTGCCAAAAGTATTGGGACACCCCTCCAAATCATTGGATTCAGGTGTTCCATGAAATTTCCTTGCTACTAAATATACTACTATACTAAATATTTCACGGTCAACTGTTAGTGGTATTATAACACAGTGGAAGCAACTGCGAACAACAGTAACTCAGCCACGAAGTGGTAGGCCACGTAAAATGACAGAGCGGGGTCAGCGCATGCTGAAGTGCACAGTGCGCCGAAGTCACCAACTGTCTGCAGAGTTAATAGCTACAGACCTCCAAACGGCATGTGGCCTTCAGACTGGCACAGCAACAGTGTGTAGAGAGCTTCATGGAATGGGTTTCCATGGCCCAGCAGCTGCATCCCAGCCTTACATAACTAAGTGCAATGCAAAGCGTCAGATGCAGTGGTGTAAAGCACGCCGCCACTGGACTCTAGAGAAGTGGAGACGTGTTCTCTGGAGTGACGAATCATGCTTCTCTGTCTGGCAATCTGATGGAAGTGTCTGGGTTTGGCGGTTGCCAGGAGAACGGTTCTTGTCTCACTGCATTGTACAAGTGTAAAGTTTGGTGGAGGGGGGATTAGGGTGTGGGGTTGTTTTTCAGGGGTTGGTCTTGGCCCCTTAGTTCCAGTGAAGGGAACTCTTAAGGGATCAGCATACGAAGACATTTTGGACAATTTCATGCTCCCAACTTTGTGGGAACAGTTTGGGGATGGCCCCTTCCTGTTCCAACATGACTGCGCACCAGTGCACTAAGCAAGGTCCATAAAGACATGGATGGGGGAGTTTGGGGTGGAGGAACTTGAGTGGCTTGCACAGAGTCCTGACCTCAACCCGATAGAACACCCTTGGGATGGATTAGAGTGGAGACCTGACCTCACAAATGCGCTTCTGGAAGAATGGTCAAACATTCCCATAAACACACTCCTAAACCTTGTGGACGCCTTCCCAGAAGAGTTGAAGCTGTTAAAGCTGCAGAGGGTGGGCCAACTCAATATTGAACCCTACGGACTAAGACTGGGATGCCATTAAAGTTCATGTGTGTGTAAAGGCAGGCGTCCCAATACTTTTGTCAATATAGTGTATATAATTTCAGTGTTGCTACTATCACGCATTTGGCGCGGGTCTTTTCGTGAATTTCATTTTAAACAAATATATATCGCCCAGCAAAGTATTTCTTTACATTTTCGACCAAATTCTTACAATCATGATGCTTCTAAACAGAACGAAGGGGGAAGTTCTGTGAGCGATTGCTGTGCGTTCCAGCAGCTGCCGCTCTGGAACGCACCGCAATTGGTGTGAATGGGCCCTAAAACTGGATATCGGGGCCAGTGCTCAGGGGACCAGTTGATTCCGCAAGAAACTAAAACTTATAAACATCAAGGAGCGGCTTCCATTGTAAGTGATTTATTCAGCATCTGAAATAGCTTAATAACCTTTTGACTTTAATATCACTTTATGCCGACAATATGTCTCTTCTACAATAAAAAAAAACCTGCCAGCTCGCCCTTTTTTTTTAATTTTCACCTAAATTTCCACTTTAATGCCAATGAATCCGCTCGCCGTTTCAAATTGACATTTCTCATTCATGCCAGTTTTGACATTCTGCCATTCTGATGGGTGCCTGTTAATTGATTGCAATCACTTCTGGCAGAGCATAGGTTAAAAAGGTCTGCAAAATAAAGTCTGATCCTGTGTACACATCCATTAATCATTTTCAGGATATCCCCGATGACTCCCTTTAGGAGGAACGATTTGCATTAAAAAGACATGTTTGGCCCCCACCACTTCTCCCCAGGGATGTGAGGGTGATATTTGTCTGTGAAAGCCATCTTTTCTGCAGTCATGTCATCAAGCCGCAGCCAGAAGCAGCCCACACACACATACACACACACGCACACACACCAGCCCCTTCAGCAGGTTCAGTGCCTCTGTGAATTGTAATATTTGGGGATACCCCTGCCTTACGCACATTTCCTTCCTCCTCATTCTTTACCATTAATGTCAGCTAAAAACAATGTCACAGCCTACAGGGAGGGGGAAAAAATTGGATTTCCCTATCACACTTGTCAGAAACAGCTAATGTCGTTGGACACTGAGATTTCAAATAATAGATCTATTTACAGATGCATCTCCCTCCTTCATGCATTATTGATGCGTTCGTGAGGTTTCCTCCATCCTTTGCCAAATGCCTGGTTTAGGTGATATATTTATGGAGAGGGAATTTATATTCAGCCCCACGC